AAAGGTTGGAACGTTGACTGTGAAATGTCTGTGGATCATCAGGTGGAAATGTCCAGTATGCCCATGAGTATACTGTTGTAAGGTCCTACAGGTCTCCGCAGGATCGAACGCAACCACGAGGTTGTTCTGGAAGTCCTCAGCATACGGGGTCCCTGCCTCCTTGTAGTTTTGCCACATTGTCTCGTTTATTCATTAAAATGTTTAGAGTCCCCTCCCCCAAATATCCAGAGTCCCTACTTACTTTGCTAGGCAAGGGGATATATGGGTGAATAAAAATAGACATGGTCTCTGCTCTCATCTAGCTTGTAGTCTCGCAGTAGAGACAATTAACAAGAAAAAATATATAGTTATCACTTTAAGTTATGATAAATATTATGAAGGAAACAAATGGGTACAGAATACCAGAGGAAAGAGAGGGGACCTCTCGAGAAGGCCTTTAAACCAACACTTGAAGGACATTCCTGGACAAGGTAATAGCACATGCCAAGACCTAGAAGCAGCAAGAATTTAGTCACAAAGCTAGGACACCCACCTAGCTTGGGTTCTGTGGTATGCCTGGAAAATTTGCTGCTGTTACTGATGTCTCAGTGATAGTAATAAAGTAGTACAAGAAGGCATGCTCATAAAATTATACCAAAGCCAAAGCACCTGATGCCCGTGACATGGTGGTTAACGATTTTATGTTGTCACTGATGGGACTGGCTGGATACAGATGGTTACATTAGTCAGATGTAATATTAACCTAAACAAAACTTTAAATAAAATTGCCACGGAACTCTGCATTCCATTACTAATAGCTCTGATTGCCTCAAATCATGCCAGAATGTGGAAGTCGCGCTCTGGGAAAAGTCACCATTCCGTACGATTTCAGTCAAACACTGTCATTGAGGAAGCAATACTTAAAATAACGTTCCTTTTAATGATTGAATAGAGGGTTGGCACAAACTACAGAACAGAAAAAAAAAAAAAAGATTCAATATAGCCACTGGGGAAGGGATAAGTAGGTTGTGTTTTGCAATTCCTTCCTGGTGGGTTTACAATTATTCCACAGCGTGACAGCTAAAATGCCTAAGAAATCGCTTACCTGAACCTCAGTAATAATTAGTTTTCTATCCTTTGTATGTTCACCATGAGTTCTATTGACCTCGCCATATGGAAAGTCTGAGTTTACCCATTTACAGTTCAAGTATTCATTCCTTGCAGGCAAGCAAAAGTGTGCTGGGGGGTGAACGGTGCCTGGCCAGCAGTGTGTGTTTTAACTAGGATGTTTAAGATGCATCAGTTGAATAATTAATGTATAAATCTTAGCTGGCTGGGTAAGAAAATGAAAACAAGCTTTATTGGGTATAGACATAGATTTAGCTCAAGTCTTTTTGCTTTTAAGATGAGACGTCAAAAAAGGCGAAATACAGACTCCTTTTTGTAGTGCAATTAAAAGGGAAACGAACTGTGTTAATGTGTTTTGTTTGTGATTTGGCTGAAAACTGCGGTGCTCCAGTATTACAATTTAGGTGCGGGCCAGCATGCCAGTGAAGAACTCACCGGTGCTCGTCAACTACTCACCATTCCCTCGTTTGTAAAACCATTCAGAAATGTGTGGTCTGCCTGCAGTAAGCTATAACTAAAGCTATTCTTTGTAATTAAGGGCTATTTTTTAATTTACATTTTAAAGTCCACTGGCAGCCCTTATGTCTTTTGTCTCACGAGGGTGGAACCGACAGGGTGGGCCTTTCAGAAAAGGCCCTCAATCTAACCCCAGCCCTCAGCAAAGGAGCCATGTGTGATTCTGGCAAAGGACTAAAGGGCTCCAGCTTGCTGGTGGTGTTTGCGTCACTAGGGGGCTATCAGCCCCATCGGAGTCCCTGGAACACAGCGGCCCTCTGCTGTAACACAGTACATAAGCTATTGCATCTGCAGAACTCTGTGCAGCTTGCTTTGTGCTATTTCCACAAATGCTAAATAGCCCAACAGAACACAGACTTTCTTCAACACTCCTGGCTCCGGCAAACAAGCTGGGGAAAGGATTTGACTATACAGAGTTCAGTTTTGACTCTTGGGGTTTCCAGAGGTTCAGCTCAAATGTAGTGCTGAGGGTGTGTTTCTTTCCCTCAAGTCAAACAAGCTGAATGCCAAAGGCCACAGAATTGTTTTCCGTGCTTTAGAACTCACAAGTGATGGATGAACTGTACGTCTCTACCTCCTCGAGACTCACTTTATATACAGGGAAACTGAGGCTCTGAAAGAGTAGATGACTCGCCTAAGGTTTCCTGGCCAATTAGTGGCAGAGGACTGGCTAAAACCTGAGTTTTGTCCTCTCCCGGCGGGCCTCTTTCCAACACACTTCATCACCCTCTAAAGCCAGCCTGCTAGAAAATGTCCAGGCAGTGTGTCATGTGAAGTAATTTACTGGTATGGAGGGCTATCTGTGAGGGGTAAGTGAATGTAAACTCTAAGGCTCTTACAGAACAGCCTGGTTATTGAGCTGCCCAGCTTCCATCTGTGGTCAGGCCAAAGCTTAACACCTTGCTGGGTCACCATGGCCCAAGCAGGGTTTGACTGGCTTAGACTTGAACTATGCTCCACTGTTCCTCGTATCTGTTACCCCTAACTCTGACCCATCTTCTTGTGGTTTGGCTTGTGACCTAATACTGCCTTCCCCCCAACTTCCATCCCACCATATTCCGTTCTTCAATCTTCCACCCCTACTGCTGCCCCACCTGGCCCTGTCATCTCAGGATTTGAAGTCCAGGCCATCGTAGACAGAGTCCTCCCTCCCTCTTGGCCCACCAGTCCCCATGGATGAGCAGTGGGGGCAGGGAGCGAGGTGGCAGAGGCAAGGGTTATTTGAACACTCGCTTTTTCAAAAGATCAACTAGAGGCTTCTCTCCACCACCCCTTGGCATAGCTACAGTGCAATGAAAAAGGATAATCGAAAGCTGACCCAGGGCCTTGCAAAGATCATGAAGGCCCTGCCGAATGAAAAGATGAAATTAGGATCCACCCACAATTAGGACTGAATGCATTTTCTTACATTCTTGGCTTTTTAAAATTGTTCACCTCTATATGGTTTATAGTAGCATTTTCCTAGCTAGAATATTTGCTAGGTATGAAATTACTATTATTTGGGACAATTGTTTTGGTGATGTTTTTAAAAGAGCCAGGAAGTCACCTAAACTATCAGAAAGATAACTCCTCATCAAACAGCCTGGGTGGAGACCTTTCATTTAGAGAAATAATCGCTGTGTAGAGAAAGTTAGCAAGAAAATTCGGCCTCATTAGCAAATGTGTGTTACACCAGTGACTGGCAATAAAATAAATACATAAAACTATAATTCAATTCAAACTACTACTAAATTTGTGATAATTTAATCATGGGTTGGCATATTTTACCTTTCCTCTATCTATTAAAAGAAACAGCAACAATGGGTTTCTGAGTAAATTAAGAGTATAAACATGAGCTCTTAGGGGACGTTTAACCCAGTTCAGAGAACAACTTGTTTCCAAGCTCTCTGACAACATTCATTTGCATATAAATAATTAGTGTGCTGATTTCAAATGATCTTTACCTATTCATTGGAACATACTCCATATCAAGACCTCTGCTTGGCAATATTTTGCTGGCTGCTTACAATATCATTTCTGCTTGCAAGTAATAAAGATCACTCATTTTAAAGGAACATATAAGTCGGAATTGTCTCGACATCAGAATGCCCACCCCTCCCCCCTCCTCCCTCCGCCCCTCGCCCGCCCTGCCTATGTCAGGGAGGCCCAACTACACTACACAGACACACTTCAGCGTCCACCAAACCCTCATTAAAGAACATTAGAATAAAAATGCCTATAAATGCCCCCATGCGATAAGACCTGAAGCAGTTTACCTGGTTATTAGGGGTATATAAACCAAGACTCCACTTAGGAGCCAAAACACCCAGGGCTTTAAGAGATTTCAAAGAAAAAGAAACAACCATGTACCCGTGTTACTCTTACAATTAGAAAACAATCTAGTCGTGTAAAAGTTTTCAGAGGAAGGGTAAAGAAGTATATTCGTAACTCAAACACTATCAGAGCAACAGCACCCCTGGCGACAAAACTCTCAAGGGAAGCCCTAGGAACCCAGCTTCTCTTTAAAGACCTCCAGAGCCTCAGAGCTTCCCACCTCCCAAAGCTCTTCCCATCGGCCAAAGGCTCAAGGCATTAGACCGCCTTTCTTTACACGGGGCCAAAATCTGCCTCCCTGTAATTCCTACACATTGGTCCAAATATCTTGGCG